CTTTGGTCATTGGTTTCATGCTATGCTATACCACTGCACTGTCCATTTCACAAGGTACCAAAGGTGAAGGTGAATAAAATGTGTCAAAGATTTTTATTGATGAATTTAATCATAAAGCGGAAACATCAAGGTTTCCATTATTAATTTATGCTGCATATGGCGTAATAACTAAAAAAAAATACTGAAGAAATCTACAACACCTGATTTTATAGCTCTTTATCTAGCAATTAAAGCAGATGTTTGCGTAATAAAATGAACAGTGGGTAACAACTGTGAAAAAGAAACAATTTGATACTGCTCAATTTCAATTGAATTGAGCTGTACATACTCAATATTAGGATCAAATTAGAATAATTTGCATTTCCATTCCAAGACTATTTAATCAAATAATTAACAAGACATAAGTTACACATAGTGGTATGTACACCTGATTGAAAAGCATCATGCACCAACCAATCAAATTGACGATTAATAGCTGGGGGGATTTTGATACTTGTTGGCGATAAATCTACATATAAATCACTACACTTTTGAATGGCCAAACATGGAAGGAATACTGAACACATAGGTATTATATTTCTCCCAAATGCATAGAAAACAGTATTTAGTTCAACAACTGTCCCACCCATGCCCACAATGCCTCCTTACCAAATCACCATTAGTTTTCATTCTACTACTAGACCGTGTTGGGGTTCTTGATGGTGTTGATGTTTCTGATGGCGTCTTGGACTTGACAGATGACACCACGCTAGAGGACACTTCACTGCTTACATCATCATCACTATTACTAGACGACTCACTGTCTTCATCAACTGGAATTCTCCCTTAGCAACAACACATAGATGTAAAATTAATTAACAGAATCAGATTGTACATATTTGACAAATCAAACTTTATCTTGATTGTTTAGAGTTAATGTTTTTAAGGCTGGATTCATTCATTCATTTTTTTTATTTATTTATTTATTCATTCATTCATTCATTCATTCATTTTTTTTTTATTTCTACCATGTTTTTGCATCACTAAACCCTCTGTTTGCAATGTTAACATTAGTGTCTTTGGGGGGGACTCCCCTAAATTGTCTTCAAAACCACCATATCTAAATTTAGAATTAGCAGTAATCTGTCTAAATCTTTCATATATCTCATGGGTAAAATAAAATCATTTTGAAAATAACAAGTTTTATGGTTTTATGAAAAGCCAAGTTAAAGCCACCTTGGAAGTTAAGTTACTCTACTGTATACCTCAACCATACGATGTGGACAAGGCAAATACCCGACTTTCACTTTATGTCAAGTTTGTTCTATCAAATATTTGTTTTCACACTCATCATTAATTAACAGAAATTTTATAGCAACATAATATTCTATTCAGTGTTTATAATATGTAGCTTTAGATATATAGGTGTGAAAATGTAACATGAAAATCAATTATTTATATAAATCATCTACTATATATGAAAATCTTAACACATTAGGTGCTGTCTCCACAGACATACCAATAATCAATCAATACCTCACAGTAAAAATTGAAAAAAAGTAGAAAAACAAAAATTAACAAAAATATTCGCTAAAAATAGAAAATTGATATCATCATGAAATGAACAAATCCGAATGAGGTCTACCCATGGTACAAAGCTGGTTGTTTTCAAGAAGACAAATTCTTCAGGGACCAACAACGTACAATAGATAATACGATGACAGCTAAAATCAGTCAACAATACAATTCTGTTTATATGATTAAATTTAGTGATGATGATTTCTGTATTTTTCAATATCTTTAATAGTTACAGCATTCCATAACTTGATGATATTTATTCTAGTTGCGTATGCACTACAATATATAAATGACAGAGGTGTGTCTAGAGGTCAAAATAAGTCATATTTTAATGACCCAACATAAAATAATGCAAGTTTTTTGTATATTTCTATTTTAAGATGTGCACTTATAATACAGTTTGTTGACCTTGAACCTAAACAGAAATGTTGTATCTTCTATTCTATTCTATTCTATTCTATTCTATTCTATTCTATTCTATTCTATTCTATTCTATTCTATTCTATTCTATTCTATTCTATTCTATTCACAGGAGTACAGTATCGGCATCCTACCTTATTAGGGAATACAAATTCCATATATGGAAAGAAGCCATGATATATGCTACTGAATAAAGTGTATCATACGAGTTTACTGAATAATATTATTCCAATAACATACCAACTTCTAATTATTGTAAACTTACAAGTTTTTATTATTGTTTACTTTATTAGAAGCGTTATGTAAATGACTGAGGTGAGAGTAAATAAATAATGAACGTCATTTTTATGTTTATGTGTGCTGCCATTGAGTAAATACATTTGTGCTGGCTACATCTCAGTGAGTTGTATGAATGAATAAACAAAAGTAGTCTGGTCCTATATGACACACAAATGGTTATCAACACAGTGTGACATCACATCAAAGTGATAACAAGTCAAAGCAATCAGATACTATACAACCAATTGACCTCACATATACATCAAATGATGCTATTTACTTTGTGGTATCCTCGTCAAAAACCTCATACTTTTAACAATGCAATAAAGTTATATGAATTTTAATTACAAAAATGCTAAGTTACTCAATTAATAAGATACACATTTAAGATTTGTTTTTATCTTTTTTGATGGTTTGCTATAAAATATATCACTGATTTAGTCAAATACAAGCATTAATCGCCAAAAGTACAAAGTACAAAGAATAACCAAGATTGATTCACAAAATGCTATCACCAAAATTATAAAATAAGAGTGTGTAACAGAAT